AGTGCCATAACAGGGGTAAGGGAATATGGAGAAAAACATGTGTTCCATTTTCCATACTCCACCTTTCTTTGCCCCATGCAAATTTTATGAATTTGGAACAACTTATTTAACCCCTCTAGACCCCAAACATCCTCACTTGTAATGTGAAAATAATCACAGGGCAACTATGAAGATGAGTCAGATCATGTATAGCATATTTTGTACTTAAATAAGTGGTAGCCCTCACTTAAATGCTAATATTAGTGTTAGAAATAATATAGGAGATTGGACTATAGGAGGCAATACCAAGTGTAAGAAGGCGAGCATAGCAACAGGTGCAACAGTCAGGAGCACTGATGGCAGTGATCTAGATTATAAACATGAGAAGAGGTGGACTGGAGGAATTTTTAGGGGTGGAAATCACCTTGTTTCTTATGGTATATATGGGGAACACAGTGGCAGGGCAACTCCCTAAAATTCTAGTTTGAGTGTCTGCGAGGAGAGCTGTGGCACTGATGGAAAAGGGAAGCACACACTCAAGAATGAATCACAAATTTCATAAAACAGGAACCAAAGATATATTTAAATTGAAGGAGAGAGAGGTTGCCGATATAATGGAATCACCTTGTTTCTTATGGTATATATGGGGAACACAGTGGCAGGGCAACTCCCTAAAATTCTAGTTTGAGTGTCTGCGAGGAGAGCTGTGGCACTGATGGAAAAGGGAAGCACACACTCAAGAATGAATCACAAATTTCATAAAACAGGAACCAAAGATATATTTAAATTGAAGGAGAGAGAGGTTGCCGATATAATGGAGGAAAAACACGTCCCCAACACACATATAATATAACATATATATAACTATGAGAGCTAAAACAATGGAGAGAGACAAAGCTAGAAAAAAAACAGTGTCAGAGAAACAAAAAGCAACAAAAACAAAGCAAAAGAAACAATATATCCTACATTTTTGTGTTAGTAGATTTTAGGTTGTTCTTTAGAGAGACACAAGTTCTTCACAGAAAACTAAATGTTCCCTTTCCAAGATGCCGTATTGCTGCCCAACCAAAAGATAAATCCCACCATCTCTCCCCTTCATGGGGATTTACACTTAATTTTCATGAAGGAAATTTGTAGAAAAACATCCTATTTACCCTCCCTTCAGTTCAGAGAAGAGAAGAGGCTTTGGTAAGCAGTCATGAGACTCTTGTAACTCATGATTAACTGTGAATGTCTGAGTTGTATATGTCACTCTGCAAAGACACATAAACCCACAATAAAAAAGTTGTAAATTTGACTTGAGATTTCTGTTTGGGCCTAATTGGGCTCTGTTATTTAACACAGAGGTGTGATCAGAACATACTTTGTTAGTAAGTGAAACTTGGTGCACCAGTGAAGTAAAAACAAATAGCCATGTTTGTAAGGTGCAAAAGTGGAAGTGTGATTTGAGTGGGTGTGGCCTGTTTCTAGTTCTTGAAATTGTAATGCACTTGTGTTTTCCTTTGCTCTCTGACAGCCTCCATGTGGCTAACGGTTGGTAGGAGAAGCAGTGGTAACTACCACAATGTGTGCCTCACATGGCTATATTAGTAATTTTGTGTAGCTGTGACTAAAATACCCGAGGGAAAAACTTAGAGGTTGAAAGATTTATTAGTTCATGTGGCAGAGAAGCTTCAACGTGGTAGACAGGAAACAGAGACAGAGAGAGGCAGGGAGGGACATTAGACAAGGTACTCTCAAGGACCCATTGCCAGTGACCTATATCATTAAGCTAGGCCACACCTTCTAAAGTATTTAGAACCTCCCAAAGCAGTACCACCAGCTGAAGATCAGGATTTAACATATCAACCAATCAGGGACATTTAGTATTGAATCCATGATAATGGTGAATAAGCTAGTTACATTGAAATAAGAAGTCTTCCTATTCAGGGTTAAACAGTCTGTGACCTCTTATTCTCTACACATTGGCAAATTATATATTTCTGTGTTAATCACCATCTACTGCATAAAGAAACTTCTTTGATGAGAGTTGAGAGATGTGTTCATCCTATGTGTGGAGAATGCACTGATGGTGTGTCACTTAGAGTTAACTATCTCACAGACACTTATTCTTTGCATTTCACCAGTTCTGGAACTCTATAATAGTCTCTATTTGTTCCAAAAACTTATTCGATGAAGGGTGAAAGGTACAGTTATTTGTAAATATAAGGATGCGTATTTATTTTAATAAAGTAAGAAATTAGGTTGATCTAGGGCTGTGGCAGAAGAAAGATTTTCTCTAGGATCTGCGACCTCTCCAGCCATGTGTATTTGACTGTGTTATGTGTATATTACCACACGTGAATTTCCTCCCATTGAGCAGGCCTTAATAATTCCAATTAGACAGCTGTTGATTACCCCCAAGATAAAAGTGCCACCACTGAACTAATAGCGATAGTTTGCTAAGCCGGCCATTGTTGTTTATCAGGCTTTACAGCTGGGTAGGACCATTCATCGTTTTTTTTTTTTTCTCCCTCGGCAGCTTGTATAGTATCCTCTGATATGATGAGAGCTAACTCCTCAGGGAGGAGGCTTCCAGGCTAGCTCCTGCTCTAGTGCTCCAAGTCCAAGTCCTGTGTCCAAAGTGTAGCCTGTCTCACCTTCAAGTTCTGGGAGGCAATCAAGGACTGTGGCAGTAGCCTGTGTTATTCAAACCTCTACCTCCCAAGGCTCAGGGATCATTGTAGAAGAGGAGGCAGAAAGACTGTTAATAGCCAGAAGTGGTGGATGATAGAAAACAGTTTTCCAGACAGCTGGTCAGTTACTCATACGAATTCACTATGATGGTGATAGCATGCACAAGTTCCAGCATAGACATGGGAAATGAGTAAGAAATCCCAACCCAACCTAAAGATTGTTGGCAATTAATGGCTGCTGGGAGGAGAAAAGACTGTGTCTTACAGGGATGCGACTCTTGGTGGGCCCGGTGGATGGACCTACATGGAAAGACATTTGGCGACACAAATCAGACTCTATAGGCCATGTTTTATACATACATACATACATACATACATGCATACATGTATATTATATATATATATATATGAATACGTTAAATTGGACTGGGGTAGTAGGGGAAAGTGCAGATCTAAATATCATGAAACTACATAATGTGAAAATCACAAAAAATCAATAAAAAATAAAAGGAAACAAAGGTGGTGAAAAAGAGTCTTCCTAGTTAGAGTGATAAGCAGCATAATGAAAATAGTTTAAGTTTGGGACCAGTCCTACAAGACATTATGCTTAGTTTTGTTACCTCAGGCAACTTACTAAATCTTTTGAACATCAGTCTCCTTGTCTGAATTATGAAAATAATAATATCTCTATCTCTCATGATAGTTGATATAATCAAATTAGATTATGTGTGTGAATACTTCTGCTGATTCCAGTATATATCCTTGATGGTCAAAAAAGGAGGACTTCCTCCCTTTTCACCTGTGAGTACCTCTGTAATTTTAGTCATACATATAAACACAAGATGACTGCATAATACTTCATGACATACTGCAGATGATAGGCTAGCTAAGTATAGATACTGTATATGAAAAAGGAGGGAAAATGAAAGTACTATTTAAAATAATTTAAGTTTGTAAAATGGACAATGTTATGTCTGCAAAATCATCATTTGGGATTCTGTTAATTTTAATCTCATCTCTGTGTACTGTAGTAGGACTGAGGCCATTTTGCCACAAGTAAAGGGAAACTAAAACCACATCACTCCTTTGTGGTAAATAAAAACAGTAACAATTAAAACCCTTCCCCCAAGAAATGACACAGAACTTAATTTCTTCCCTGGCTCTAAGTAAATTAATTAACCCTGCAATCTAACAGAAGGGATGCTTATGCAATTTGTTTTGAACAGGAGAACGAAGATTGAAAAAGGTGTGCATAGAGGTTAGACACCTCCCACTTGCAGTCTTAGATCTTTTATTTACCAGCTGTGTGACCTCCATTAACTCCTCTTTGGACCTTGCTTCTTCTAACTGTATTATATGTAGGCCCAATTTGATGATTTTTAAAGGTTCTTTCCAGTTTAGATTTTATAAGGTGGTTAAAATAAAGTGACAAGTCTGTTGCTATCCTGCCCCTGTCTTTGGCATGCAATCTGCATTACTCCATGTTCAGAGCTTGGGAAGCCAACAGATTACTTTCTCTATGCTCCAACTTAATACATAGCCAAAACCACACTGAAGCATAAACATGATTTAAAATGTCCAAAAGCTTTGCCCTTATGATAATTAATGAATAAAAAATTCATTCTTAATTTTTTTCAAGGACTGATACTGATGATCTGTTTTACCCTAACCGTAAGCCATGTTTCATGTGACTGTTGGGTAATGTGTCATGTTGCTGATGCCACACTAATACATGATTGTTCAGATAGGAAGAGCTGAGCTCTATTTCCAAGATTACATATGGGGAAGTGCCCATAGGTCAGTTTTTAAATTCATACATTATTCAATTTTTTCACGCAAATTGAGAATGGGACATAAACAAGGGGGAATAGACAAACTTCAAGAGGACTTGAAATTTATTATGATAGACTAATGAAGAAGTCATATTACCAACTTCCAAAAGTCAGCCAGGACAATGGCAGTGCACATTCAAGGAGGCTATATTGTTTTCTAAAGCTGAGTTGAAGATGAAAGAAAGGCGAGGGATCTAACAGATGAGGCTAATTTTCTAGTATTGCAATTGGTAGTGAGTGAGCAGTATTCACTCTAACCAGAGCTTCTTAGCAAGACAGATTTAGAGAAGAAATGAAAACACATAAATGCTATGAGGACTGTTGTGACCATTCCATCATTTTCCAGTTGATTAACCGCAGTGTTGGGTCAATGTATACCTTGTTTGAGCCTCTACTTACTGATTCTAACTGGGTTCTTTCTAGTTCTAATATCATATATCTCTGTAAAACAGAGTCCTGAATTTTGGTTAAAGCACTAGGTAACCATTCTGTTTTTTAAATTTCCTTTGGGCAGGAGCCATAATTCCACAGTTTACCTTGATGAATATACTGACATATTCAAGATGGGCAGCAATAGTACCAGCAACGCTGAGAATAATTGCAATGTCACTAATGTGACATTCCAGTACTCCCTCTATGCAACCACCTACGGCCTCATATTCATTCCTGGTCTTCTGGCTAACAGTGCAGCCTTGTGGGTTCTATGTCGCTTCATCAGCAAGAAAAATAAAGCCATCATCTTCATGATCAACCTCTCTGTGGCTGACCTTGCTCATGTCCTGTCCTTACCTCTCCGGATTTACTATTACATCCACCGGCACTGGCCATTCCAGAAAGCCAGTTGCCTGCTGTGCTTCTACCTGAAATATCTCAACATGTATGCCAGCATTTGCTTCCTGACATGCATCAGTCTTCAGAGGTGTCTCTTTCTCCTCAAGCCATTCAGTGCCAGAAACTGGAAGCGTCGGTATGATGTGGGTATCAGTGCTGTCATCTGGATCATCGTGGGGACTGCCTGTTTGCCATTTCCCATCCTGAGAAGTGCTGGCTTAGCGAACAACACCGAATCTTGCTTTGCTGATCTTGGTTACAAGCAGATGAACCCAGTGGTTTTGGTCACGATGATTACAATTGCTGAGCTTGCTGGATTCGTGATCCCAGTTATCACCATCGCATGCTGTACCTGGAAAACCACTATATCTTTGAAACAACCACCTATGGCTTTTCAAGGGATTAGCGAGAGGAAGAAAGCGCTGCGGATGGTTTTCATGTGCGCTGCAGTCTTCGTTACGTGCTTTACCCCTTACCATATTAACTTCATTTTTTACACCATGGTAAAGGAAACTATCATTACCAGTTGTCTCATTGTCAAAAGCACACTGTATTTCCACCCTTTTTGCTTATGCCTTGCAAGCCTTTGCTGCCTTTTGGATCCAATTCTTTATTACTTCATGGCTTCAGAGTTTCGTGACCAACTATCTCGCCACGGCAGCTCTGTGACCCGTTCTCGTCTAATGAGCAAGGAGAGCGGTTCATCGATGGCTAGCTAAAACAAAATATTTCTTCAGCTCCGACTCTCTTTACGTATGTTCTTTGCCCTTTTCCAAAGGCTCATATTAGCAGTCAAACAATTTCTTAAATCAAACATTGGAAATAACAGAAATAAGTTGTACTATGCCATAGTTGTAATTGTGGGGTTGTGCCTCCACAGATCATGGGACAATCAAAGGGTAATAGGATTCACCTGTTTCCGATTTGCATGCAAGGCATTTTATTATTTACAAGACCCAGATCAAGTTTTTACAGATGGTTCCAATCAAATATAAATCGAAGGCTTTTCTTCCAATTGTCTTGTAAATAGGATATCACTGAGATGCAATATATAGTAATCTGTTTTGTAAATAAAATTAAATCTCTTTCATAGTATAACTTTATTTCTGAATGATAATAAAATTTCCAGTCCTTCCTAGCAATAAAAACAAAGGAAACATGGCATGAAGCTGTTGAAGCAATATGTGCATGAATTTCAGGACAAGAGTCCTGCTACTGAATGAGGGGCACGGAAATCCGTTCCTTGAAAAGTATTAGAAGTCTATCATTTTCTGGGTTGTTATTTTGCTTTGTAATTTCATATATAGCATCTCATCTAGTCTTTCTAATACAGGTGACCTCGTGGAAATTGCAAATACAAATAAATAAATGTAATGTCAGAGAAGTTAAGCAACTTGTCTCACGATTCACCGTGATGAGTCAAAATTTGTTCAGTATACACAGCAAGTGCTTATATTATTCCCTCCGTTTATGTATTTACATATATTTAGTCAATACTAAACTTGATGTGAATGGTAAATACACAAACTTAAGGTAAGCCATAGGAAAGTACCGGGGATTTGCAGACAATGATAGACTGGCACCATCCTTTGAAATATTCTGGAAAAAAAATACGTTTTGTGCCCTTTATATGTTCAGAATGTAGCGTTATCAGAAACCATCAAAAAATAAAAATAAAAAAGGAAAATATCATGGGATAAAAAAGATAAGCCATAGGAGATAAAGGTGATTTAAACACTATTTTCTGGGGCTCATCAGAAAATTCTATAGGTGGTGGGGTTGGCATTGCTCAGGCTACAAAGTCTCCTATGATAACTACATTGTCCAAATACTGTGTTGAACCTGCTAAGTCCTGATAATAAGAAATCCAGATAGTGCATTACTTCCAAGTTAATATGGCTTATTGGAGGGCAAACAAATACCTAAACTAAAAGACATAAAGCTATAAAATGAGCCACAAAGAGTTAATATAAGTTAGGTTTCTTTTTTTCTTTTTTTCCTTTTTCCTTTTCTGTGATTCGTCTTTTTGAGACAGGGTCTTCCTGTAGCTCCAGCTGGCCTGGAACTCACTATGTAGGCAGGCTGGCTTTGAACTCACAGAGATCTGCCTGCCTCTGCCTCCCGAATGCTGGGATTAAAGGTGTGCACCACCATGCCCGGCAACTTAGGTTTCTTTTTTAATTTGTCTAATTGCTTTCTTTTTAAACATTGCTACATCACTTGAAAAAAATTTTAAGTTTTTGGTAATCAAAATTCACAGAATTGTATTAGAAATTGAAAAATATCACATGGTAAATGGATATGAGAAAAATGTGTGCTTATTTAATTTATTTTTGAAAGTTCTGGATTTTGTTTAAGTGATATTATGGAGCATTTCAACACAGGGAATCCCAGTAGGCATTCATGGAACTCAAGCCATCACTGATCTTTTATGTCTGAAATTTACGTAGCGTAGATATTCAGTGTGCAGGGAAGAGAAGGTAGTGGTAGTCCTTAGAACATGCGTTTGAATAGACTCCAAGGAAGAGGAAGGGAAAATTAAAGGGAGGAACTGAAAAAAAGATAAAGTTTCCAGTGAGTGAGATAGTTCTGTAATTATAAATAAAACATTTTTGGAAGTGTGTGTTTTATTAACCACAATCTGAAGACACGGCCTAAAGAGGATTCTCAGATATGCTTGGAATGAGTGGTAGCATGATCATTATCACAGTACACAGTCTCACATTAAAGAAATGGCTTTTCCAGAAACCCACTTGGAACTACACATCTTGCTATCGTGTTTGTAGAGAAAAGAAACCTCAGCTCTCACAGTTCACACACCATATATTTCTTCTTAAGTGTTGGAGGGAAAGTAATGCTTCCACACAGGATTTGTGGATTGGTGTATAAATGAAACAACATGCCTTTCATTTTGGACATCATGTAAGTGGAAGTTTTGGGATTTTTCTGATGTATGACTCTCTAATGTGGTAAGAGAAAAGAAATCCAAACAAGAATGAATTGTTTTGAATTTTAAAGACTGAGAAAAATAACAACCATTAGAAAGCTTTAGTGTGGATTTGATTTAGTTAGAAATTTCAAAAAGTACAGGTTTTATCAAGTTAACCTTCAGTCTGGCCTGTTTATTCACCCAAGAGAGAAACAATGGTGTATCATCCGCAATATTGATTTTCAATAACTAAAAAC